TTTAACTCAAAGGAAGATTGCTTGAACGGTGAACGTAGGTCCCTTTTTATAATTCGGGTTTTGTTTAAACGATTGTGAAAAATTTGTAAACGGATTTAGAATTGATTTCGTTTAACCATTTAAACATCACATCCTTAACCCTGATGACGTATCTTGCTCCTTGCACTTTGATTTGATCCTGCAATTACAAGAAATGGATATGTATTGTGTACTTTGTGATTTTAACACTTTGTATCATGCCAAGTAAAAAAATACCTTTGTTTTCAGTTCAATATAAAAAATCTGATTTTTTTTTTAAATTTTTTATTTCATTTCATTGTAAACTGGTCGGCAGAGATATCTGGTTGAAGGACTGGTAACCAACTAAATCAAGTGTGAAATACATGTATGTCACACAAATGTTTTTTTAAATGATCTCAAACTTAATTTTGGTGAGTAATTTTTTTTCAAAACTGGATTTTTTCTTCTCTATATATGTACGTATTTTTTTTCTGTTTTCGTGTGTTTACGTTAACCAGTGAAACTTGGATTTTCAATATTTGGGCAATTGATGTGTGCACGTGTTGCTCTGTCCACCACGCACAGTGACATGGCGCGGGGTTGGTACATGGATTGTACCATTGTGTTGCCACTGTACAATGTACATTTGTACATGCACTTAATGACTGCATGTACACCACTTGAATTTACCTCAAATATTGTTTCTTATAATGAGAAGTACATGTAGAAATTGATAATTTTATGGTGCAAGGTTTGATTACATCAGAGATGAAACTGGCATATGGCAAAAAATCGGAAAATAGGCCGAACAAAAATACGTGTCCAAAACCTGGGCCGCGCTGCAGTTACATACATGTACATGCATGTACAAAACACTTCATGCCCAATTTCAGACACCGACTCCTGCTTTATTTTCAATTCAAACACAATTTTGTGTTTTCATTGCATAAAACCCTTGAATTACGGTTAGAGTAATGGAGTCATCAACAAAGAAGTTCACTTCTTACGTGAGAAAGTCGAGGAAAAAGTCTGAAAGACAAGGGCACCGTTCATGGTGCTTCAATCATGTCCATGATTCAACCGCACAACTCCACTACACCACTTGCATTCGTACGTGGGGAAAAAATCAGGCATTATCGTCTTTCTCTTCCAACAAATGCCAGTGAAATGTTTCCTTAATGCTCTCTTCGCTATCCTCGAGATGATCATCATGATTTTTAAAGCATTGCATTTTGTACAACTAAATCTGAAACCTCCGAAAATCGCACCACAATACAACATAATGATTTTATCCACTGGATCGTCGATCGAGGCTACCTCTGTTCCCGACAGGCCATGTGCTATAGCGGACGGCCGCGGTATACGCTAGCGCTGGTTCCATATGCACGCATCACACAGTGATTTTCCATGTCACATGTCAATGTTTAACCTTTTGTCCAGCCGGAAAAGGCTCCGATCAGCGTTACGGCCTGTGTTTCTACCGTTGAAACACTCCAATAACGACTGGTGAAAGAGACTAAAACTACGTTCGCAATGATTTTAACGTGCCATTTTCATCAACTTTTCATCGACTTTTCTATGAAATTATGATTGAAATAAAATGACATTTTGTGGGAAAAATCGTTACAAAATCAAATTTTGTGAGACACATGGTAAGAAAATTGGAAATTTCGTTGGAAAATTCAAAAAGTCGGATTTCCGATTAAAATCGGAAAAGTTTCACCTCTGTTACATGTATTTTGTTTGCGCAAGATTCACATGGCTAAGTTTTTTGGGCGAATTTTGGTTTGTTTTGGCAGTTGGCTGCAGCAGTTTGTGAACAGCTATGAATGCCGGCAAAAACAATTTAAATAATCTACAATCATACCAACCTATTTTTTCTGGCTATAAAAATTAAGAGCAAAAAAAAGAAAAGTGTAACAACCCATCCTCTCTATTTCTGTTACAATGTAATAGGAAACACATAATTGTTTTAATGACTGTTTTGGCCTTAACTGTAACTAGTTAGGCCAAACAAAAAAAATGGTGTGTTTACGGTAACCCGACCGACCTGGAATTTTTTCGGCCAAATTGCCGACCTCAAACTTTTCATTGCCATTTTGAAGGTTAATAATTGACAAATTTCAAACATTTCAAGTACTTTTAATTATTTGCCACGAACAAAAACCATTTTCCACACTTGAATCCGACCATGATTTGACACAAACATACCTGTGTTAAACGTGCGAAAATCGCGACGATCACAAAACTTGAATTCTCAAACTACGAAGTACGATTATTTTTGCACAAACGCATCGGGGTGAACCGGTACGCCTGGCTGGCCGACGGACGGCATGGTTCTCCCCACGTACAAACGTGCATACTGCGTATCGGCCCGATACACTGGATTTGCGGCCGGCCCGATACGCCGACAAAAAAATGCCGATCACATTTTTTAGCCCCTGATACGCACAATATAATTATCATACACGCCATTAAAATGCACAATTTGATCGTTACATACGCCATTATTTCATCTTGACATGCAAAATCTTGACCAAAATCCTGTTTTTCCGATGCATGTGTGATCAAAATGCACACAATGACGTGTTCTGTCGACTGCAGCACCCAGCTAACATACAGCATGGTACACTGGTTCCCTTCGCCAGCTTACGGAATCAATGCTATGATGAAGGACCGGAACCAGTGACTACTGCCTCTCTCCGGTCCATACTTCGTATCATACAGCATGATGATGTAGTGGGCCGAAGTTGGATCGTAAAAATATTACCAAACAAACATCGCTGGAGAAAGAGAATTTCTGCGAATTAATTTACAGAACGTGATCTTTACTTTCTGTGTATGTGTTTTCCATTAAAATGACGAGATTGCAAAGCTCGAACTTGTGGCGAAACATCGTAGCGTGTTTCTACAGTAGTGCAAGATTTTCGGCCACGTGGGCCGTGAGCACGGCGCGATGTTCGGCCAGCCAGGCGGAATGTTGGCGGTGCCAGCGGCCGTGATGTATGTTAAGCATAAAGTGGAATCACCGACCTCAAATATATTTTTAATTAGGTGAGGCAAGTTTTAATCACTTTTGATAGCCAGTCTTGATAATTTTCGTGGCGCGAATGAAAATAATCCTGGCACAAAATAAACATGATTCCTTGCTCTATGATTAGTACGAATGATGCTCCATTAATCAGCACCCAAAAAAAATTGGGGAAATAATTTTCCGACCAGCTGACGCTATTTTGAAAGGCATGTAATCGGAAGCAAAACTTTTTTTTTTTTCCACCTTAATTTCTTAATTTGAAACTTACATGTAAATGTAATTCATACTTTTCTAGTTAGGAAGCAGTGAAACACAGGTTGTGAAATGTTAATTTTTTTTTAAGGTAACAATTTTGATTTTTTTTTCTTTAATTACAAAAATATTAGTGACCTACAAGATCTCCTCTGAATTTCAAGGACAAATCTTAAGATAAAGACCCCCAGATTTGCTCTAAAATGCACCAGAGAGCTTCTAAAGTTCAAACATTTTCGGGTTGTTGAATCACAGCAAATCTTCCCCCACATGTTTGAAAAAATCCTGGGGAGAACCCTGGCCGATGATACAAATTAATTTGGATTGAAATGTATCGATTGAATATCTTCAATGCTTGAATAGTGGTTTTATATAATTTTTTGCAAAAGAACACGCAGGGCATGCAGAACTGAAATGAAAAAAAAAAATTACAAAATAAAATTATTTCCCTACCTACCTACCTGGATTTTGTTCAGGCCGTTACCGTTAACACACCATTTTTTTTGTTTGGCCTTATGGCAATCCTGTTAATGAACAGTTCTTCTTTTTCCATTTAGCGTAAACGTAGGGGGGGGGGGGGAGATGGATGTGACTATCACCTTAAAACTTTCTAAATCATTTGTTTTCCAATCCAACATCACTAGGAATTTCACCCAGTCTGACATGTACATGTAAACCTGTTAAACACTCATACATGTATGTACATTCTAAGTATTCTAAGCTTCAAATTATTTTTTTTTTTACTGACTTTCCACCCCTTCCCTTTTCCCAAATTATGACCGACAGGTTCCTGGTTCTCAAGCTGCTCGTTAAAACACAGTCCAAGAGACCTACAGCTCACCTACTGTAATTTTTTATCTCACATTATGTTCATGTGGAAAAACACTCAGTCACTGTGCAACTCACAGTGAGAAAAATATAATTTTCTGTCCTCAGAAATGTATACAGAGTTTAAAAGTAGATTATTTTACATCATGGAATCAATACAGGTTTTACAAGATTATAAAGATCACTTCACACTTTTCAGTGGGATACAATTAACCATGGTAAACAAAAAGGATTTGCACTTGTTACACACCATACATGCCATACGTATTATTCAGTCTCAGTTGTAACATATGGTACAAAATGCTTGCACCGTGTACAGACAATACAATGCACACTGTGTTCAAAATGCATGGGTGTGCAAGTTGTACACTGGTGAGTGTGTGTGTGTGCATGTTATGAGAAAAAAAGCAATACATGTACATGTATGTGTAGACAGTAGTGTCAAGACACATAACACTATAGTATTAGCAGATATCTCTGCACACATTGTTAGAATCATGGCATGTACACACACCGGCCATACACTGCAATCCACTTACTCACAATTTACTAATTTAGGCTACCAGATAGAATGCAGTGGTATCCTGACAATTTTTATTCACTATCATGACTATATAACAACAACTATGGTCAGTCAGTGAACATAAATTTGGGACTGAGAAATATTTTCAATCTTGTCAGAAAACACTTGGAAAGTTTTCATGGCTTATAGACTGTTTACACAACCACAGAAGAGGGGTGAAGGTGTATACTCTTTTCAGGCTACCAGCTGACTTGTATTATTATTTGCAAATATGTACTGTGTACTTAACAACATACTTAGGAAAGTTACCAGAAAGGGTACATGTATAATAAAAAAAAAAGCAAAATAAACAAAATGGCTTACAGAAACAGTTGAAGAACTCAAATCGTCCCCGTCGTTGGACCGGTCGGTAGTCATGGGAAGAAGACTGAATTTCACCTTAGGGGCAGTTCCGTTGTCTGACCCGTTTTCCGGGGAAAGAATCACCGTCCAAATTCCTTGTGGGGGGAAAGTTAACATTGTTGGCATCAGAAATAGGTGATACAAGCCTCCAACATACTACTTAGAGGTACAATTAGCCCAACAGCTGGAATCTACACCATGTGTACAATGCTGCATACAGCGGCTCGTGGGTTGTTGTGCTACATAAAGCAGTACATGCCAGACTAGTGTGGCACAGTTCAGCATCCATCCATGCATGTCTTTCACTTATGCACAAAACACGCAGACATATGGAACTCAAAACGTTCACAAAATATCCCCTGCTGATTAGATCCAAATTTAGAGAGAACTAAAAGTATATTTTTTTTCTTGAGGATGTTGATTACTAACTAGGCTATATTTAGCTCATGAGATGCTATTTAAAATCCGTGCATTGCGGTAGTTATATTATGATCGTCCCCAAACTGAAGAACAAGAATCAGGCGAAACAGTGCCCACCGCCTACGCGGGGATTTCTGTAATTGCGTGTATTCTACGTAATGACCACGTAAGAGAATCGACACGGCGAGACTTGGGTCAGTCCAGTATTTTCCCCCTATACGACCGGTCCGCCATTTCCGTAAGAAGTGAGACTTGCTAATATTCAATCGCCGTGTCGCGAGCCGAGTCATTAATTCATTAGAATTTCAGCATTATTTCAGCCTTTTTTTTTACCTCCCCCATTCCCAAAGATTCAATAACCCACGTGATTGACTAGACATGGCGGCGCACAGTGCACAAAACATGCCGAACAACCGCACCGTTAGTACTCACTTTTGCAGCTGAAAAGGGAGCTTACAGACCACAGTCAGCAAACAAAAACGGCTAGCAGCAAGAAGGGGCCTTTGGAAATATGTAGAAATAACTTGCTCGAAATAATATTCGTCATTTAGGTCAATATTTTCTAATAAATACTGTGATAAGTGTGTCTCTTCCTCTTGGAACGTACGACATTATATCGCAGGGACGATGTATGCACATGCGCATTAGCACACCAGTCAACTTGGACTGGATAATTACAAGAATTATTACGCTTTGCGTGAAATTTAATGTTATGGGGTTAAATGGTAAGTTTGAATACTCATTAACTCAATTGTGTTGTTTCAGTAGCTGTCTTATAGTGAAATGCCTCGTTTGAATTTGGGAATTCATCAGTAATGGCAATAATACGTGGCACTATTTTGTACATACTGTTCAATTTATACGCGGGCCGGGTACGGGTATACGTCTGTGGTTTAAGCTTGCGCGATGCGGCTTCGTGCCCCTGAATATAATTAAAGAAACCCGTCGATTTAAATACCTTAACATACATATTCACGATATGATAATGCTATTGCTAATGTACTGCTGTACTCCAGCTGCACATCATGCGTAGGCTCCATCCGTGCATAGCCATAGCGCATGTACATGTACATGTACATCTACTGTACATGTACATTGTGTACACGTAATGTACATGTACATGTTTATAATAATTTTGTGAAGCTGATATACCACGTCGTGGGATGGGTCGAGTAGGCCCACAATACTGCGTAATATGACTGAAATTGTGGGCCGGGCCGGGCCGGGCGCACGTGCTGACCAAAGATAGCACGCCGCATAATCATGATAATATGCATAGCGCAGCGCTAGCGCTAGCGGCGATCTTTGTTGCTGATGATTGATACTGACATAATATAGACTGCTTCCCGCCCCCTCTCCTAAAAATATTTGAAGTCCAAATGACAATGGGGACAGGGAACCAGACTACTGACACATTGTACGTAGCCACGGTTAGAATTCTATCCAGTACAAATTACAACAAACGAGAGTATAAGGCCTACATCTTAAGACGTCGAAAAGTTGGATGGGCCGGTAGTCTGAGCGTCTGAGTATCACCCGTTATCTACGGACCCAGTCTCCGTATAACGTCTGATTTATCAAAGCATGCAGATTTATGCGATCTCGAAAGGCGGGGCGGGGGAGGAGAGGGGGCGGGGAGGAGAGGTGGCGTGGGAGGAGAGCGCGCTGTTTAAAAATATATTGCATGTAGTATATTTAGATACACACATAATACATTTGCCTTTCCGCTGTGGCCGAATTTTTCGTCTCCGGCCGTACAAACTGTTTGGGGACCCCTAATATTATATCCTAGGAATGGGTCCGGAGCGTTAGCGGATATTCTGTTTCCTTTTGGGATGTTTTGTCACCCTGTTTTCGCAATGCATGGAGACTTTACAAAGGCAGTGCTCTTAATGTGAATGTGTGGCATGATAAATTTTGTTGGTTGTGCCAGAGATGTTGGTACGTGTGAAAAATACAATTTATTCCAGCCTATAACGTGTTAAATGATAATTATGGCAGTAGTCAGGCGACTGAGCCTGATAATGGTCAGTGATGGTTTACGGTCGAGTGTCGGAAGCTGCGGGCCAACGAATGTTCATGCATGAGTCACGTGATTGTGTCATGTAATTTCTGGAAGGAGTAGTGTTTTGAGAACAAAATCAGGTTTTGATCCCCTGACCCCATGATGACCTTTGACCCCAGTTTTGTCATGTAACATGTTGGGGCTGGCCTGGGCTACTGATACTTTTGAGAAAGTTTGGTTGCAACTTCCGTCAAAATACTTAGAAGCATTAGGGGGCCTACGCAACATCAACGTTTGTAGTAACTAACTGACTGACCGACCGACCCACCGACTGACCGACCGACCCACCGACCGCCCGACCAACCGACCCGACCGGACCGACTGAATGACTGACTGACTCCCTCACACACTCACTATAACGGACTAACAGAGACATTGTTGAGCTGCTATCCCATCTTATTTTACCCGTCCATGAGCAATGACGGATTGGTTAAATGGATTTGACCAAATACAATGTATTGGTAATTTTTATCCATCTTCAAGGGCAGGGGCGTCAATCGCTTGTCAAAAGTGGGAGGGGGGGACATACCTTGATCAGAAATAATGCAAGCGCGAAAAAAATCGGATTCTAGATGCTCATGTGGTGTGATCTGAGGCAATTTCTGACCACTTTAACCAATATTTTCTAAGCAAAAGATAATGATTTAAACATCATTTTCGAGGTTGAAGTCATTGAATAAGCTATTATATTCTCAGCTAAAGGCGTGGGGTTCGGGGCCCGCTTAAGGGCCCCGAAAAAATCGGATTCTAGATGCTCATGTGGTATGATCTGAGGCAATTTCTGATCACTTTAACCAATATTTTCTAAGCAAAAGATAATGATTTAAACATCATTTTCGAGGTTGAAGTCATTGAATAAGCTATTATATTCTTAAGCTAAAGGCGTGGGGTTCGGGGCCTGAGTGGCCAAAAAGTGGGGGGGGGGGGGGACATGTCCCCCTGTCCCCCCCCCCCCCCGGATTGACGCCCATGTTCAAGGGTAACTCACGTTGAAGGCCAAGACAATCAATTACTCATTATTTTTGCTACAACTTCAGTGGCTATATTTTGTTAAAATGACCCCGTGTCGGGGTTCAAGACCGTGTAACATTCCTGCATGGGGAAATCACTGACTAGGTGCATTATAATAATTTGTTAAGTTGAACAAAGAAATTGCCTGGAGCGGGTTTTGAACCAGGTTCCGGTGACGTACTGAGCCATCCAGCCAGGCCTATGTTGGCGGTTCTCCAATTTATCAATGTCTTTGTTAGTCAAGGGGCCTACATATTCCTTTTAGAAAAAAATGTGCTCTGTATTTTTGCTAAATGGTGTTCCGATAACATGCACATAATATACAATGTACATCAAATGCGCATGTAAAAAGTGTATTTGCCAGACCCTTTCCTGCTAGTGGAAGGTCTTAAACGTTAGGCGTCATTTTGGGCGAGAACTTAAATTCCCAACTAACTTTACTTCGTGTACTAGTCATGGAGTTCTTATTCCTCCATGGTGTAGTAGAGTACAGTACAGTACAGTTCTTGCATGTTTAGCCAGGCCCGTAAAATCAGTTGGCAGGCAATATTAAGTTTCTTTTCAATGAGGTATTGAAAGAAAATCCATTGTTTTATGCCTGTTTTCCAAGCATGTAGAAAAAAGGCAGTATTTTGGTCTCCATACTGCACGAGCAAACGCATTACAAAATAGTGCGACTCAGCATGACTCAGCACTTTTTAAAAGATGGCTCCCACGGCCGTCAAAGGCCAGATCTGCGATGCTCCAATATTCACATTTGTTGATATTGGTCTATCTACATGTGCCATATTTAGTGCTGTTGTCATAAAATGCACAATAGGTTTGTTATGCCGACCACTAGACAGCCGATTTGAGTGATGCAAAATTGCTAAAGCGAGCCCAATTTTCAAGACAGAAAGCTTATCTACCACTCCAATGTATTGCTTGTGGTCTCATGCAGTTTTTAATTACAAAGGAAGTGTGTATCTTAAGAATAAGTATCATTCGAACTCATTTCTGTCCCCAAATAGGGCAAAGAGACAGGATTGGGGGGGGGGTGTCCTCGATGCAATATACCCCCAGAGAACACGAATGCGGATAAATTTGGGACCAATATATTTTTTCTTGTGTACCCATCCTATCAAGATGGTAAAAAGTTGCAACAGGTCACGCTGGGACCATTTTCGAGAGAGCAGTGGCCATGGGCGTCGCCAGGATTTTTTTCCGGGGGGGGGGGCAAAGCAAATTTTAACCCAAACTTTCTTAACTTTTTCAACATATACAATTTATGATTTTCCGACGACCGTGGGAGGGGAACACCCCCCCCCCCCCATCAAATTAACAGAAATATGGCTTCGCATCTCTTTTTCCTCCCCCCCCCCCTTTTTCATTTTCCGGGGGGGGGGGGGAGAAGCGCCCCCCCCCCCCTTGCCCCCCCCCCCCCGCCCTCGTGACGGGCATGGCAGTGGCCCAAAATACCATTTTAGCCGTTTCTCAAAAAATAAGCCCCCAAAATAACAGGAAGGCAAAAGTACCGGCTGTGCAACTTAAGAGCACTATTTCAGATGTCCCAATGTAGGCCTATCCAACAACAGAAAATAATATTAAGTCTAATCATACAATAATTTTGCGATTAAACGGCCTTATCCCAGGGACTACTAGCCTTCGCAGTATCGATCAAATGGAGTTAAACAAGGCTGTGTCCTTGCACCAACGCTTTTCAGTGTTAGTTGGCATGCTTCTTGCTTTTCGTGACATCAACATCGGCGTTAAGATGAGATTCAGGACTGATGGAAGAAATTTCATTCGGATGTTTCAAGTAAGTCAGTGACACCACGAAGTAGTGCGCACATACAAACCAGTAAAAACGAGCCATCGGAGAAAACGGCATCTAAAGTTGAACGCTTTCTAGAACAACACTTTCCTTCAAAACTGCAGAGTATTTTTCAGTTGGGTTTCTCGTTGTGGACACTAAGTCTTGATGTATTGAATTTATTAAATTTGCTGGGTTTTTTTACCCGTTTGTATATTAATTTAACAAGCAATAAGAGAAAAAGGGTGAGTGCACTAGTTCGTGAAACCAAAAAATCTGCAAAACTATGAATCTTTATTTTCACGAAGTAGTACGCTTCAATGTACATGTATTGTGTGTTGTTTTTATTAACTATTGCTCTGTTCACAGATTTCATAATATTTATTCCGTGTTCCCTTTTAGGATTGGATTGATAGACTTTCGAGTCATAGTGTTTAAGTTCACTTTTATTAATCCTGGCCATCTTAATTTGGGTTTTGTTCTGTTCTTGTTCTGTCCTATTCTGTAACAACCTTGCCTTTTATCGTTGCTGCCTTTATTCATACATGTAGCTCCTTGCTTTTGTTTACACTTATTTGTATTGTTTCATGATTTCTTATACTTGTAATCTTGTCTCCTCTGGAGTTACATTGTCATATTCTCTGTATATGTTTGTTGCAAATCTTGGCCGAATAAATAATAATAATAATAATAATAATTACAACACTACGTGGATGCTACTTCGTGAAAACGGAGGTCAGCGCGCGCGCTCATCACGTATCACAAAAGGAGAGTGCTATACT